CGGGTTGGACGCGGTTTCGAACGCGGATTTCGAGTCATTCGGTTAGATGAAAAGCCGCGAAAAAAAAAAATAAAGCAGGCGAAATAAAGAAATAATCCAGGCTCTTTGTTGTGAAAAAGAAGAAAGAAGTAAAAAGAAGGAGAAGGGGAAGAACACGAGTTATATGCCGAGAAAGGGAGGGGGGGGGGGAGGAGACGCCCTGCAGACGTTATCTACCCCCCCTCCTCCTCCCACCCCCACCACACCCGCGTTGTGTTTACACCAGGACAAGAATAAGACCTTTATTCACTCGGGGAATCAATTTCCATCATTAGTAATGTTATTAAAGGTAACAAAGGAATGGGTAACGGTGGTTAATGAAAGGTTGTAATAAGCAGTGAGCTGTTACAAAGATCAGGACTTAGGAGTCTCGATGAATGGGCAATGCGGTAGTAACGCGCTTGGCTACGTACTCCGAGCTGTAGTCAGTTTCCACGAGTGCGAACTCGGTGGGTCTCGCGGGCGGGTGCCGGTGCCGGTCTCTTCTTCTTTCTTTTCATCGCGTAATATATCTGACTTCCCTAATGTTTCCCAAGAGCTGCAACTCCGCCATGCAAAACCCTTTCCTTGACATGGTGATAGATTGCAAACCATACTCGCCTTGCAAACGGTCCCCTCCCACTCCTATCCCCCCCCCCCCCTCCCGGTGACCAGCTCTTGGTATGGAGAAAACGGACGTACATCTGGCAGCCTGAGTAGGGGCTATATAGTCCTGAGATTCCCTTAGCAGCGGCCAGTGTAAGTTGTGTTGTTTTAAGTTGATTTGAAGGGTTGCAACTCCTCTACACGTGTGAATGGTTCTCCCATCTTTTCAACACCAGCTCTGCAACCCTAAATCATAGTGGTTCATCGTATTAAAAGCCCCTAGTTGATCTTGCAACGAGGTATGTGACTACAGTATCAGACTTTTAAAGATCATCATCTTAGAATGTGACGAACCTTTTAAAAGATATTCTGTTCATATGACAAGTCGTCAGTGTATTTCTTTATCGTGTGCAGTGCGAATTTGTATTTTTCTTGCATCATATCAATACGTTGTTGTGTGTAATTGTCAGGAGCGGAAAATATTGATGAGTCTAATAGTACTAGCTGTACACATTTATCCGTCACGATACAAATCAGATTCGAGAGACCACACTCCGGATCAAAGTGACCCCAAATATCTACATAACCTTCCCGATGAGAATAATCTTGTCACTTTTTTTCATTGTCTCTTAAAATCTGAATAGAGATCATTCGCTGCTTCGCGTATGTGTCAAAAGTTTAGATGGCCCGCGAATCTGGCAACGCGTCCAGCCAAGCCAACCGCTAACTTCGTACCGCTCTGGTTCGTGTTTTCTCGTGGTTCCAACCTCACTGAATTTATTCGATCTATTTTATTATTATTGGTCTACAGAAGTGTACGTGCCTTGCAAAAAGTCAGGGTAAAATGCCATAGCAGTATCCAGACTGGGTGTGTTTACATTTACGTGAAGGGGCTGTGCCATTATGCTTATGTTATTCACAAATTATCTAGTTGGTAAAAAAAAAAAAAAATAATGATAATCTGTAATCATATAACGTTTATAAGGAGGGAGAGACTGACGGAGGGAGTGCCGGAAGCAGGGAGTGTGTGGAAGGAGAGAGGGAGAGGAAGAGGAAGAGGCTGAGAGAGGGAGGGTCAAGGAGAGTGAGGATGGTTGGGAGATAGGGTGAAGGTAAGAAAGGTCGAGGCAAGGAGGAGGAACTCGGGGATGAGAGAGGAGACAGAGAGAGAGAAGAGAGAGAGATAGAAGAGAGGAGAGAGATGAGATGAGAGGTGAGTGAGAGAGAGGGGAGAGGATCGGAGAGAGAGAGAGAGAGATGGAAAGAAGAGGAGATAAGACGAGAAGACATGAGGAGAGAGAGGGGGAGAGTGAGAGTAGAGGAGAGAGAGAGGAGAGGGGAGTGAGAGAAGTGAGAGAGGGTGGAAGAGGGAGTGAGAGAGAGAGAGAGGGAGAGAGATGAGGAAGGAGGAGATAGGGGGAGAGAGAGAGAGAGGAAGAGAGAGAGAGGAGAGATAAGGAGAGAGAGAGAGAGAGAGTGAGAGAGAAGAGAGAGGGAGAGAGAGAGAGAGAGAGAGAGAGGAGAGGAGAGAGAGATGAGAGAGAGAGAGTAGAGACGAGAGAGAGAGAGGAGAGGAGAGAGAGGTGAGAGAGGAGAAGAGAGAGAGAGAGAGAGAGTGAGAGAGAAAGAGAGGAGAGAGAGGAGAGAGATGGAGAGAGGAGGAGTGGAGAGAACAGAAGACACAGGATGGGAGAGAGAGAGAAGAGAGGGAGTGTAAGAGAGAGACAGAGACACAGGAGAGAGACGGAGAGGGAGAGAGGAGATAGGAGAGGGAGATGACAGAGACACAGTAGAGAGAAGGAGAGAGAGAGAGGAGGAGAGACAGGAGACGAAGAGAGAGTGAAGGGAGAGAAGAGAGAAGAAATGAGAGAGGAGT